TCCATCTGGACCTCCTTACTCTCCATCTGGGGACCTCCTGTCCTCCATCTGGGACCTCCTGTTCCTCCATCTGGGACCTCCTAACTCTCATCTGGGACCTTCCTACCCTCATCTGGGACCTTCCTGTCCTCCATCTGGGACCTCCTGTCCTCCATCTCCTGTCCTCCACATTGCGACCTCCCTGTCCTCCATCTGGGGGACCTCTACCCTCCATCTGGGGCACCCTCCTACTGCCATCTGGGACCTCCTGTCCTCCCATCTGGGACCTCCTACCCTCCATCTGGGACCTCCTCCTGTCCATCTGGGACCTCCTACCCTTCCATCCGGGGACCTCCTGTCCTCCATCTGCGGACTCTGTCCTCGCATCTGGGACCTCCTGGCTTCCTCCATCTGGACCTCCTACCCTCCATCTGGACCTCCTGTCCTCCATCTCCTGTCCTCCATCTGGGACCTCCTCCTCTCATCTGTGTCTTTTGTCTTCCTGTCTTTATCTGGACCTCCTGTCTCCATCTTGTGTGTACCTCCTGGTCCTCCTTCATGTCCGAGTTAGAGCTATTGTGAGCCTGGACGCGTCTTTTGTGTTACACTTCTATGGGCGTCGTCATGGATGTCATGTATGCAGTATTTAGCTCTCATGGTTGTAGCACCATGGCAACGTGACTCGTCTTTCACTTCCTAACATCATTCACTCCATCATCACTCTTTATGGAAGTATTCTGTAGAACCCTCTTTTATTTTTTTTTTTTGATTTATGGTATAACTCATTGACCTCGCTTATAACCTTCCTTTATTCTGAGCCATGCGTCCTTTTGGGGGTTCCAAGCAGAGAAAACAGAGCGATGTTGAAACAGGAAGTTAAATAGAGAACACAAATCGAGAATAAGAACCCATTCAGCGGGTCTGTTTCCTAACCAGCATGAGGGGGGAGGGTCCTGCAGCGGTGCTGGGGACTGTTCATATGTCTTGAAACTCACCGAACATGCACGGCATGCGTCCTCTTGGGTTTCTGACGCAGAGGATGTGAAACAGGAAGACACAGTAAATAAATCGAACAATTCTGATGAATATCAAACATCAGACGGTCTGTTTCCTCCTGAACGGGCAAGAGTTAACACGTCTCTTGAGTGTAAATGGCTTTTTCATTCAATTGCAGCATTTCCCATCCTAGGCCCTTTCACTCGTTTTGAGAGGAGCAGTGAGAGCGTGATTCTGGGAGGCCGGTTCCTGCGACTTGCTGCTCTGCCCCTCACAAAGAGGCCCTCTTGGGACCACAATGAGATTCTGAGAGATTCACTTTCTTGTTCCTGTCGCCAGAAACAAAACAGGCAAGCAAACCTCGGAGGGCGCCCTTCAAAAATAAAACCCCCTTACCCTCATCTCGCATCCTGAAAGCCCTGTCTCCGCCGCCACTCGCAAATTGATTTAGCAGCTCCGCCCGTCCCGGGGAAAAGAAAACAAAATGTTATTAATGTAATAACATCTTTTGGGCGACCAAACGGCGGCGGCTCTTGAAGAACCCCCTCGTCGCCCGATTATAAAGCGACCTTATTCTTATTTCTGAAAAGCCACCGTATGCCATATTAGCGGCAAACTAGCTATTTACTCAGCGGCATGGACCTGTCCCAATCAATTCCTTACAGAGTACCAAGAGCCTCGCTGACAAAAAGCCGGGGTCCGAGGCAACCGCTGACCAAATTGTCCCAAAAGTCAAATTGACAGCCCTTTTTAGTTAATGGGTCTGAGTATGGAGAAGTTCTCCCCGAAACTCATTCCGGGGTCTTCTCCACGAGGCGAGGAGCAGCCGAGAGTGAAGGGAAGAGAGGAGAGAAAGGAGAAAGGCTGGTGAATGACGGTGAAAAGGATGGAGAGTGAGGTCTCCACGTTAATAAAGAGAGTGGAGCGGAAAGATCAGCGAGGGGAAGTCGAGGGAAACTTCACCACGTTCCTGGTTACCTTCTCTTCATTTCTGTCACAAAATATTATGTCCTAGAAAAACCCTCCTTTTTCTTAAAAAAAGCTGTAAAAATTGTTCTCCTTGGCTGCCAGATGGGTTAATCTTAGTGCTCGTTAACGGTTCATCAGTTTTAACGAGCGGTTTTTATATGATCCAGCCGAGAGGCCGAGTACACTACTAAACATGAGTCCAGATGTCCTGCTCTTCTCTCCATTCTGTCACAAATCTGGGGACTCAAAATAATCGCCAGTTTCCACCTTCTTCAAATGATCAATTAACTAATCAATGTCATCAGGTGTTGTTAACGGCTGAATTCGTTTAATAAGGCATGTATATGACCAATCACGTATCAACCTGAGATGACCCACAGAAAGCAAGCTGTAAAAGGCGCCTTCTTCTTCCTTGGTGTCCACTCTCCTGTATGTTGGAGCATTTGTCAATGGTTCCAGAACTAAATCTCTCTCTCTCTCTCTCTCTCGTTCCTCTTCTCTCTCTCTAGCCCGAACGAGCCCACCTGACACGCTTCCAGAAGGTTACAAAGGTCACCCCGTCACCCGGAGACCCGAGAGGTACCTAAGTCGAGTCCCAACGTCACTCTGCAGGGTGAAGCACCTCTGCAGTACGAACCCCACCAAATGCCACCTGTCCGTTTTTCCAGCGCTGTGGAACTGATCAGGTTCTCTTCTCAAAAACCCTGGAGACTTGTGTGTGGTTGTGGTGTGTGTGGGTGTGTGTGTGTTGGTTTGTGTGTGTTGTGTGTTGGTGTCGTGCGTGCTGCGTGCGTGCGTGCGTGGTGCGTGCGGCGGTGCGTGCGGTGTGATGTGTGTGTAAATATTTTTTTTATTTTGAATACTCATTGTATTTCAAAAATTCCGCTGATAAAAAACTTTTGAACCTTCAAAAATGTATTTTGAATGATCAAAACTGAATATGACCCCTGAGATGCTCCATATTAGCTAAGCTTAGCCAAAGACTGGAAAGAAACTATAGCAAGTGATTGCATACCTGAAACCCTACCGATGGGCGGGAGTCTATCGCTTCGACTCTACGACTACCGACTCACTGGCTTCCCTACCGATTTTCCAATCTTCCCAAAACTATAGCATAAAAAAGACTCTCCATAGACCACTGGACTCCACTTTTTGCGTACCCACCGTTGCAGCGTGTCGTGTGATCCATCATACAAAACAGCCTCTTCACCCCCGGCCTGGGGTAATCACTCCCAAATGAGTTTAGGGAACAGAGGACGAGCATTGAATCCTGCAGGGATTTCCCGTTAATATTCCAGCTGTTCTCGAAAACACATGTTGGCGACTGAGAGACACGGGTGGGCTTTTCTGGCAAGCATTTTCCAGACCAGACAATGTTGATGGTCACGTTACCAAACTGGCACTTTCTCTGGAAAATGCATAAAATGATGCAATATATGTTAAATACATGGTTTATACATGTAATTACTGGGTTCCATTTCTTCTGATTACCTAAATTGGGCGTGCACATTTGCTGCGTGCAAATCCACCTCTTTTGGATTTGGAAAGGTTGGCATGTGTGTGATTGTTGTAATGAAGTGAAGACGTGCTTTGTGGCTACAGAAGTAAACCGTGTGCAAAAACACAGATTCATTTCAAAAGAATCTTCACGTCTTTAAATTCTCCATTTAAACTGAGAATAATGTTTCCCAGAAGCTATAGGTGAGTCCAGGCTGGTGTCCGGCTCACTTAGAGTCTCTGCAGGTGGCTTTTTCTTTACATCTGCGGTTAAAATGAAGTGAAAGGCGCCGCCTGGAAGAAAGGTCCTGTTTATTAGAAATGAATTACTGGGAAACAGTGAAGAAGAGTGTGTGTGATCTGCTGTTAGGGGTGAGGAAAACACACGGGGAGCTGCTGGGAGATCTGTGTAGGGAAACATCAGGAGTGAAATGTGCCTGTTTTCAATATCCACACGCACACACACACACACACACACACACACACACACACACACACACACACACACACACACACACACACACACACACACACACACACAGACACACACACACACACACACACACACACTATTGCCTGTTTTATGATTTCAGAGCCCCTCTCTCCATTGTTGTTAATGTTGAAAATAAAACTCTAGTTTCATAACCACTGT